GTCTTTTGCCCATTTCTTCACTGGATTATTTGTTTTTTGGGTGTTGAGTTTGGTAAATTCTTTATAGATTTTGGATACTAACCCTTTATCTGATATGTCATTTGCCAATATCTTTTCCCATTCCTTTTAGTTTTGCTAATTGTTTCCCTCGCTCTGTGGAAGCTTTTTATTTTTGAGGTCCCAATAGTTCATTTTTGCTTTTGTTTCCCTTGCCTCCAGAACCGTGTTGAGTAATAAGTTGCTACAGCTGAGGTCAAAGAGGTTTTTACCTGTTTTCTCCTTGAAGATTTTGATGGCTTCCTGTCTTATGTTTAGGTCTTTCACTCTTTTTGAGTATTTTTGTGTACGGTGTAAGAAAGTGGTCCAGGTTCATTTTTCCGCATGTCGCTGTCCAGTTGTCTCAGCACCTTTTACTGAAGAGACTGTCTTTATTCTGCTGGATATTCTTCCCTGCTTTGTCAAAGATTAGTTGGCCATATGTTTGTGGGTCCATTTCTGGGTTCTCTATTCTGTTCCATTGATCTGAGTGTCTGTTCTTGTGCCAATACCATACTGTCTTGATGATTACAGCTTTGTAGTATAGCTTGAAGTCTGGGATTGTGATGCCTCCTGCTTTGGTTTTCTTTTTCATGATTGTTTTGGCTATTTGGGGTCTTTTCTGGTTCCATGCGAATTTTAGGATTGTTTGTTCTAGCTCTGTGAAGAATGCTGGTGTTATTTTGTTAGGGATTGCATTGAATATGTAGATTGCTTTGGATAGTGTTGACATTTTAACAATATTTGTTCTTCCTATCCAGGAGCATGGAATCTTTTTCCATTTTTTTGTGTCTTCTTCAATTTCTTTCATAAGCTTTCTATAGTTTTCAGTGTGTTTTAAACTTTTGTTTTTAAACAAAAGTTACAGATATTTGAATATTTAGGTATAATCCTATAGATCAAGGGTTGGAACACTATGGCTTGAAGGTATGGTCTGCCACTAGTTTTAAAACTGTTTTACTGGTATACAACCATGCCCATTCATTGACATATTATCTATAGCTGCTTTTGCTGTTATTACAATGTCATTGAGTAGTTGTGAGAGAGACTGTGTGGCCCACTAAGTCTAATGTTTATAATCTGGTCCTTTCCAGAATAAACTTGACAACTCCTACCCTATATTACCAAAACGCCACAGAATAGACATGACAATTCTTTTAATTACAGAAAAATCATTAACTTTTAAATCACACACAAAAAGTCATTAACTGCTTTTATCTTGCCATATCTTATTTTAAGAATGAAAGGGATACTATGGGTTAAGACTCATGGCTATCTTCTAATTGATTTGGTAGTATTCCTTTATTTTAAAAACATCTGCATCTATTATGATGGAACTATAAATTTGTATAAATGTTTTAAAGGGTAATTTATCAATAGCTATTAAAATTTTAAATACACAGAATCTTAACACTCAATTTTTCTTTTATGAATCTACTTTATAGACATATAAATGTAGAATATGCATTATAGCGTAGAATGATAGGAAGGCAGGAAAGGAGATTCTTATGTTGCATCTTATTGTGGAATCACATTGCACATATATTTAAAACTTTTGCAAATTCTAGGATGTAAGCAGGGGTAGGGACAGACAATGAATATAAGTGAATGAGAACAAATTAAAACACTTCAGGCAATTTTGCCTGCTAGCCCCCTTGAAGACCATTTGCCAAGAGAGAGTCCAAAATGAGAAAAGTAGGTGTGCTGATTCTTCCGCGTATCTCAGTTCCCAGGAGCCTCTCTGGGCATAAGCATTTCCCCACACTGATCTGTGTTTAACTGTGCATGTTTTTTGCAAAAGGCCTAAACACACGCCATCTACTTTACCTAGTAGTCAATTGAAGAAACAGTAATCTATTCCAGTGCTGGGGGAAAACCAGTGGTATTAAACTGGCTGAAAGAGATTATGTGGGTTTCTAACATCATGTGCTCCTGGGGAGGGACTCTCAAGGTAAGTTTAAACAGAGTTTTCATCTTATAGGCTGACTATAGTACCCAGCCCCACCGCCCCCCACCACCAACACCAAGATAGAATTCCATCGCTGTACTGTATGCTTTTCTGCAACAATCATATATTATAACTTTTGTGATATTAAAACATAGAAAAGAGTTTAAAATGTTTTTGTATATGTAGTATGCATCTTCATAAAACATCTTGACACGTACCTGCTTACCAGTGAAACCCTGGCAAATAACCTTCGTATTTTTATCAACGTAGAGATGTTTCCGGGAAGCTATATAGGAACAATGCCGAATTCCATTCTGTTGCCCTGAAAAGTAAAGAAAATATGACACATTATAATTTCTCCAAACTATTAGACCATGAATTGAACTTAGTGACACACACACAAAAAAAAACAAACAAAAAAACACAACCACCCCAAACCCTCTAATACAGGGGCTATCTTGTGATCATGGAAACTTTAAGTGACACACAAAGACTACAGAAATAGAGAAACAAAAAAGGACACTGTTCTCTTCTCCAGTATCCCCTCTACCAAGAACCACAATCTTGTATCCTTTTCTAAATGTATAAAGAAAGGCTTAAGTCTAGAATTTTCATTCCCCAAAGACAAATGGCTCAAATTAAACTCAGGGACCAGGTATCATTTGTACTAATAATGTTTGCTAAACAGCCACATGCTTTGCCCATTTTACTCAACCTTTTTTTTTTTTTTTAAGTTTCCTTATTTTTTTAGTAATCTCTACACCCAGTGTGAGGCTCAAACTCACAACCCCGAGATCAAGAGTCACATGCTCCTCCGACTAAGCCAGGCAGACGCCCCTTCCTTACCCAATCTGTTAAAGCCCAACATCTATAAATAACAGGTAAGTGAAGAGGCACACTTTGTTAGGAGAGCTTGTAAGAACTACTCTGCAAGTCATTCCCCAAAATAACATTAAATATTAACATTAAATGTTAACATTCAATATTAAGTCAGAGATAAAACTTGTCTAATACACAACCCAAGGTTACTCAATTTGATATCTTCTGATGTAAGACACCAGACCTTACATATAGAAGAAATAGAGAAAATGAAATAAATAAGCAGATGAGAGAAGAACATTTAAAAAATACCTAAGTTATTTTCAGCAAACTACCTCCATGAAAACTGATAAATCTCTTTAGTTACTAATACCAGCTCCCGTATTTCACAAGTCAGTAGAAAGTAAAGCACTGATGAAATAAAAGTGTGGGCTACTCTCTACTTTAAAACCTTCATTATAGCCCCAACTTGCTGTCTCTGTGGCCCATCCCTGGCCCTTTTGAAGTGTCAGGCCATCCTCTTACCATTGAATTAACCCATAGAAGCTAACTCTAGAAAAGAACATCTTATGACATATTTGTCCAGAGTCTACTCCATGCTTTGTTTTGAATTGCTGCCTCTTGCCCTCCTAAATCCTCAGACCTTAGGTTCCATAACTGATCTGTATCTGGCCCTTTGGGTATCTCTTGAGCAGTCTTCAACTCCTGTGCATACCTCAGTTTCTAACAACTTTGAATTTCGGAATCCCTTGTACCTCTAGGGAAGAGACAGGCCAAGATTCACCCTTCTCAACTGGGAGAGGAGTGTTCTATGTGCACATAGATCTGCTGGGTAACAGAGAGCTGCATTTTTGAACTGGAGTATGCTGAACGAGGGACCATTAGGGGGCACTGAGGGTCAAGTCCTGCCACAGTGGGCACAGCCAAGCACCTGAACCTAGGACAGCAGACCCTACAAAGGGAATTTGCAGCCTCAGGGCTCACCCTAGCCAGTGCTGTCACTTAAGACCCATTCTTGCCAATGGCTCCATTCTCACAGCTGGAGACCCACAACCACTATACTTGTGGAAGTATTCCCACTGCTATTCCTGACAGAATCTGCTTCACCAGTCCTTTCTATTCCTGGAATCTTTAATACATGGTCCACCATCAGGAATTTTCAGACAGGATAACAGATTCGATCACAAGATCAAATTATAAGATCAGGGTATCTGGAGTGCATACTTGCTAAAAGGCAATACTTGCTTTTTGAAGGTAAAGCTGGGCCCTCCACAAGAATTCTTATACTCACTCTTAAGAAAGGAGAAATCAGACAGTTCACCTCTCCATCCACAGGAGCAGGAGTGGCCCTATCACCCCAAGAAAAGACAGGTCTGCCTACATCCATAAAGCATGGGCTCAAGAGCAGAACAACTAAGATCACTATCTTCTTCTTCTTCTACTCCAGACCTCCTAGATTTATGGAGCTTAAGACTTCACAACCCAAGATCTCTGGTGCCCACAAAAACTGCATCAGAAAGTGTGATGAAGAGCAGCTGACCTTACAGTTTCCTAGCCCTTTGGTATTGCTCAGCCTGTGCAGTTGACCTCGACATTCTAAACCTCTGGTGAAGTCGATCTTGGGAGATCTGCCATGCATATGTGTGGGCATGTGTGTGCACGTATGCATGGGATCTCTCATCTACTGTATGAGCCCACGCTCATATAGATGTAACTACAGCTAAGCTATAATAGACTATCATGACCTTTGAGCCAAATCTAAAATATATGTTTGAACACAAGAAATTCCCGATATTTTGCCCTAACAAGAAACCTACATGATGCCAGACAAGGTGTCAGCGGTACTGAAATGAGGATGCTAGAATAATCAAGCACATACCCTAGTTCCTGGAGTTGTCATCATTCATTTATTCAGTCAACACTGTGGATCACCTATGCCAAGCCACAATACCAAGTATCAAGGATAAAGTGTTGAATAAGAGTCTCAGCCCTCAAGAGACCCACAATTCACCTGAACTGACATAAAGCGGGCCAGAAGTACAGTTGAAAAGTACTGTGGTAGGAATAGGCCTTGGACATCTGGGGTAGATAAACTCTCCTGTCCCAACTCAGTCTGTGTATATTGGGGGGTAGGGGAGGGTTTGGGGCCGGGAGGTCAGAGAGGATAGGGTTAAGGGATGGATTCCTCACTAGGGCTACCTCCAAAATGAGCCCCAGACTACCAGCAGTTCACACCTAAAATCCCTGCTACTTTATTGACTTCCAGCCTCCTAAAGAAGTAGAGGGTTGTATGGTTCCCGGCAATGGCTGTAATCTCTCCGCAACTAAAAACTCTCTTCACATCTGCCCTAATTCTAGCCCATGCAACCCCTTGGCCTCAGATCATCTAACCAGACACGTGCACCTGCATAGTAAAGATCAACATGTCACAGGAGATCCCAGATAAGGAACCACTGACTACTATATGCCTCTTTTTCCAAAATACTGCTCCAGGACATGTAGGTCAACTGAATGAGAGATGCTAGCAATCAAAACAGTCTCTGAAACTCAAAGGAAAACCTGAGGCGCCCCAGCAAGCCATGATAGTGGTACTTCATAATCACCAAATATGCTCTTTTAATCCCAGAAACTCACCCCACCCCAGAGGAGCCTGCCCTATCTCTGGCCTTTTACACCAAACACATTCTCCCAGATACCATGGCTGTGAGGAGGACCTAAGTACAGAGGCTGACTGTACTTCATAGTTCTCCTCACCTTCATCTGTGCCTTCTCTACAGCTTCAGGATGGAAATAATGCAAAATATGCTTATATTCCAAGCAAAACTCACCGAATTCTTACTTCTATCATTCTTTTCCTCATCCTTTCCTACTTTATAATATCATGGCCCAGAATCGCAGGCTGGAGGCTCCCCAAGAAAGCAGCCTCTCCTCATCCCCACTCCTGCACCTCTTCCCCTTCCTTCCCACAATCCCAGCGATCTCTTTCATTTGGCCTGGCAGAGAGCAAGCGACTAGCTGCTGTAAACATTAAATCTGTCAGACCAGCTCTATGCATGTTCTTTCCCTACTTGATTACCTCTCCACTCAAACCATCAATCAAACGCCCAAAGTAATGAAAAATAGTCTATTCTACTTCTGCTGAAGAAAGCAAAGTGGTTTACAGCACGGATCTTCAATTGTCCATCCACCACTAAAAGATGCTCAGTCACATTTTGGTTTTAAATGCGAACCTGACCTCTATAAAACTACCAAGTAACTAGAGAAAGTGATTTCGTAAGGTTAAATCAAGAACACAAGGCATACACGAGTGGTCCCACCATCTTGCAAATACCTTTCACCTTTCAATTAAGAGAGTCAATGGTACTCAACTCCCTGAGAATTTCACTTGCATTAATTCATGTAAGTTCACATTTAAATAAAACATTGGACAGTGAGGAATCCTTAAGTCTTCACATGACATTCATGACTTGTGAATATAATGGGGCGTGTTTAGGGGATCTGAGATTAAGAAGAATGGAACCTGCAAACACTTTTATGTGGTATATAATACTTATGCCACACACTATGTACAGATGGGTGCACACAATCTGCTACTTTGTTTACTGCCTTATTTCTCAGAAAAATTATTTAAGGTTAAATTTAGTTCAAGATTATTTCAAGTACCATCTAAATACTTTGGAACTTCTAAATGTAAATGCCATGACTATAAGGCCCGTGTCTTGTATATCATAGTGTCTCCCATATGGTAAAGTGCCTTACAGAGTCGTGGTACAACATATGTTCACTGAATTTCAGGACAAGAGACAGGGTCTATAAAAAACACACCTCTATCAAGCTAAATGTCACAAGTTCCATCTCATTTTTCCTACTTAACAGGAAAGAAGGGGAGAAAAACCTACATCCATTTTTGTACATGCAAAGATCACAGGTTTCCCTAAAATTCTTCTAAATATTGCACAGACGTCCAGCCCTAAATGCTGCTAGCAGTCCCCAAAGCTTTTATCTTAATCTAGTACAAATTCCATACTAACCTTTTTTTTTTTTTATTAAAGCAAATAGAATCCAGATGCAGTAATGTGATGTAAATAGACTATTTCACAACAGGAAAAAACAAAGAGCTTAAAGCAAAACATACCATAAGCAGAGATAAGGCAGTGACAGACCAGGAAGTGTTTTCATAACACATTAACGACAAGGAATTAACTTTAGCAACATGAAGCACCAACAAGGTAGAGACCAAAGCCTAACAGAAAAATGGATAATGGCCATGAACAAGAAACACAACTAAAGACAGACAAATGGTATACCAACAGATGATGAGCTACCTAACTTAACTAATGTTAAGAAAATGAGCATTTTAGGAGCACCTGGGTTGCTCAGTCAGTTGAGGGTCTGGATCTTGATTTCAGCTCAGGTCATGATCTCATGGTTCATGAGATTAAGCCCCAGGCCGGGCTCTGCACTGACACCACAGAATCTTCTTGGGATTCCCTCTGTCCCTCC